TTATTCAAAGTCATTTGCTCTTTTGTAAAGAAGAAATTAAATGGACAGATAATTCCAAATATGAAGTTCAATAAAACAAAGATATTTCTAAACACGATAATTCCAAATATGAAGCTACAATAAAACAAAGATATTTCTAAACACAATGTTTACTGAAGTTGATTAGTTAGGTCAACAGATACCCATGATTTTTCCCCCTTTTTAAAAAATTTTTAACCTGTAAAAGCTTTTACTAATCCTTACAATATCATTTTTTAAATTGTAATGAAATGCGCATAACAAAATTTACCATCTTAACCATTTTCAAGAGTACAGTTCAGTAACAAGTACATTCACACTGCTGTGTAACCATACCAACTATCCATCTCCATAATTCTTTTCATCTTGTATAACTGAAACTTTGTATCCATTAAAAAATAACTCCTGGTGCTCTCCTCCCTCAGCCCCTGGCAAACACCATTCTACTTTCTGTCTGTAATTTTTACTACAATCATGTATTGTTTAAAGACAGAGATACATTCTGAGAAATGTGTCATTAGGTGACTTCATCACTGTGCAAACATCACACTTACACAAACTTAGATGATGCAGCCTACTATCCACCTACGCTCTATGGCACAGCCTATTGCTCACAGGCTACAAACGTGTACAGCAGTTACCATACTGAATACTCCCAGCAATTATAACACAATGGTAAGCATTATGTATCTAAACATATCTTAAAGTAGAAAATGTACAATAAAAATACAGTGTGAAAGATAAAAATGGTACACCTGCAAAGGGAACTTATCATGAATGAAGCCTGCAGAACTAGGAGTTACTCTGGGTAAGTATATGGGTGGTAAGCATACATGAAGGCCTAGGTCAGTGTCGGCAAACCACGGCTCACGAGCTACATGCAGCTCTTTGGCCTCTTGAGTATTCTAACGCCAGTTCTTCAAAATAGACTTGCCCAGGCCGGAAACCAACTTCTGCACATGGGCCACGAAGTTTCAATCGCACTGTACATGCGTGCCCGCACGTGGTATTTTGTGGAAAAGTCACACTCAAGGGACCAAAGAGCTGCATGTGGCTCGAGAGCCGTGGTTTGCGGACCACTGACCCAGGACATCCTATATAATCCTATATAATCCTATATAATAAAAGTCCAATATGTTAAGTGTCCAGTCATCTGGCCAGCCATTCAACCAAAGTGCAATATGCTAATGATATGCTAAGGCCCCTCAACTGCTCACTATGACGTGCACTAACCACCATGGGGCAGACAGTCGACTGGTTGACCAATCACTATGATGTGCACTGACAACCAGGGGGAAGATACTCCAACCAATAGGTGAGCTTGCTGTTGGGATCTGGCCAATCGGGACAGAGCGAGACGGGCAAGAAACACCCTGGAGCCCTCCTGCAGTCCCTCCCTAGATGGCCAACCTCCCTCCCCAGCCTCAATCGTGCACCCATGGGGTCCCTCAGCCTAGCCTGTGTCCTCTAGCAATCCAGAAGCCGTTGGGGGATGTCAGAAAGCCAGTTTCAGCCCAGTCCCACAAATCAGGCCAAGGGACCTCACTGGTGCACAAATTCAGGCACTGGGCCTCTAGTTACTTTATAAACACTGTTCCATAAGCCCTGTCCTTCCTTCCCTCCAACAGGCTCAGAAACAGAACACTGAAGCTGCCAACATTGTTCCATGAATAGGGATGTGGACTGGAGTGAGTGAAAGTATCGAGGAGAAACTAGCAGGCAAGGTTTAGATCACACTGTAATAGTGACTATCAGGAGGGAGGGAAAGTTGACCTGAGGATCAGTAGGAATAAGAAATCAAGATGGAGACATAAAGGGATATAGGGGATTATCATGGCAGTGTGGTTTTGGCTACTGCATTTTGGAGCAGTGGTCAGGTTAAGGAACTTATGTGGTATTCATTTTAAAAAGGGATGGGGTGTTTAACATGAAGAAGATATAGAACTGGGGACTCAATTATTTTGACTTTGGAAAGTTGTTTTTGGTTCCATTGATCCTATCTGGCAGAAAAAATCTCTCTCTAGCATTAAATTGATGGGAAAAAATAACTTATCTGTGCTTCATATCATTCTAAGCACAGAGACAGGCTCCACACTGTCAGGGAAGGCTTTTACTAAAGTGGCAGTGGCCCTTAATATTTGTTACAGTGGCTCCTGGGGACCTGTGCCCTTGTATAGGATCTTAGGTTCTCAACAAAGCTTACAGCAGTGAACTCTGAAGACCATCACGCAAGATCTGGAAGGGCTGCAGCACCCTCAGAATACGTAACGCTGGGGGAACAGGCTCCTCTGTGCTGAAACAGGTCAGTGGCTGATTGGAATGTAATCTGTGCTCTGATTACAAAATTGAGGTGCTCTGAGAGGAAATCTATTCCCAAACCTCACAAATATTGCTACGTTCAGAAAAAAAAAAAAAAAAAAAAAAAAAAAAAAAAAAAAAAAAAAAAAAAAAACACACAAGAAATTCCTCCTGAACCACATAATCTCCTATTTCTTATAGAAAACTCAGCCCAGCTGGTGTGGATCACTGGTTAAACAGCGACCTATAAACCAGGAGGTCATGGTTCAATTCCCAGTCAGGGTACAGGCCTGGGTTTTTATCTCAATCCCCAGTAGGAGGCATGTCAGAATTTTCTTCCTTTTTAAGGCTGAATAGTATTCCGTTATATGTGTATACCAGTGTGCTTATCCATTCACCTATCAATGGACATAAGTTGCTTTTACCTCCTGGCTATCTATACTAATAAAAGGGTAATATGCTAATTAGACAGGATAGACCAGACATCTTCCAGACGTCTTCTGGACAAAGCCGTGGCAGCGGCAAAGGCCAAGGGCAGGCAGCTGTGGCGGCTGCACAGTGGCCAGCAGTGGCAGCAGCAGGGTGATGAGGGCGGCACCTTCCCCTGATCAGCCCAGTCGCCTCCTGCAGAGGGAGGCCAGACCATTGGTAGGACATCCCCTGAGGGCGCCCGGACTGTAAGAGGGGGCAGGAGGGGCTGAGGGACCACCCCACAGAACACGGATTTTTGTGCACCGGGCCTCTAGTCCTATACAATAAAGGGTACTATGCAAATGGACCCTAACAGCTGAACAACCGGTCGCTATGATGTACACTGACCCCCAGAGGGCAGACGCTCAACCAGGACCTGCCCTCTGGTGGTCAGTGTGCTTCCACAGGGGGAGCATCATTCAGCCAGAGGCCAGCTCATGGGCTAGCCAGTGCAGTGGGTGGTGGGAGCCACTCCCTCCTCCGAAGCAGCGCTAAGGATGTCAGACTAATGGCTTAGGGCCACTCCCTGGGGGCCTAAGCTATTAGTCGGACATCCCGAGGGCTCCCGGGTTGCCAGGGGATATCTGACTGCCAGCTTATGCCCAATCTCCCAGGAAGCCATCAGTCAGACATCCCCTGAGGAAACCCAGACTGCAAGAGTGCATAGGCCGGGCTGAGGGACCCCACCAGAGTGCATGAATTTCCGTGCACCAGGCCTCTAATTGTGAATAATGCTATAAATACAGATGTATTGTACAAATATCTCTTCAAAACGCCGCTTTGAATTTTGTTTTTATGTCAGAAATTGCCAGATCTTACATAATAATTCTATGGTTAATTTTTGAGGATCTTCCATACTGTTTTTTTGCAGTGTCTGTACCATTTTATATTCCCACCAAGTATGCACAAGGGTTCCAATTTCTCCACATCCTGGTCAACACTTATTGTTTTTCTTACAGCCACCCCAATGGTCTGTCATTTTGATTTGCATTTCTGTAATGAGTAGCAATCTTGGATATCTTTTCATTTATTATTGGCCATTTGTATATCTTCTTCGAAGAAATGTCTATGCAAGTCCCTTGCCCACTTCTTAATGGGTTGGTTTTTTTGTTGAGTTGTGGGAATTATTTATAAATTCTGGATGCTACTCCCTATTCAGATATATGACTTGCAAATATCGGGTCTAGTAATAATTAATGTCGTTTTTAAACATTCGTTTAAAATCTTGCTTGGCTTTGACTTGTATTGACATAACCTTCAAACATGTGGTATCTACAGAACGGGTGAAGTGCAATTAACAAGTTTTGCTTGAAAAAGTTTGTGTTTGGTTTGGTTTTTGTTGCAAAACTAGGGCTAAGAAGATGGCGGATGAAGAGCATATTCGGCCCTGGATGCTTTACGAGTTCCAATTAGGAAGAAAAGCAAGTGAGGCTGCAAAAAACATCTGTAGTGCTCTTGGTCAAGATGCAGTTAGCGCCAGAAAATGCCAGCGTTGGTCTGAGAAATTTCGCGAGGGAAATTTTTCGTTAGATGACAAGAGTGGTCGAGGCCGTGTGTCCAATTTTGATCAAGAAGCTCTTCAAGCTCTTTTGGTGCAAAATCCTCAAATTACCCAACAAGAGCTTGCGACAACTTTAAATTGTTCACAAAAAACAATTTCCAATCAATTGCGTGCACTTGGCAAAGTCCAAAAGTTTGGAAAATGGGTTCCTCATGAGTTGACCGACAACAACCGTAATCAAAGAGTCACAATTTGCAGTTCGCTCCTCTCTCGTCAAAACCGTTTGCCGTTTTTAGAGCAAATTGTTACCGGAGATGAAGAATGGGTGCTGTATGTTAATTTAAAAAGGCGGCCTCAATGGTTGGACAAAAATGAGGCTCCGCAGCCCACGCCAAAACCTGACTTGCATGCGAAAAAAGTGATGTTGTGTGTTTGGTGGAATTTTAAAGGAATTCTTCATTATGAACTTTTACCATCTAACCAAACCATTACAAGTGCAGTGTATAGTGCCCAATTGGAAAGGTTAGCCCAAGCTTTAAGAGAAAAAGAACCCGCGCTGATTAATCGGAAGGGCGTAATTCTTCACCACGATAATGCACGACCGCATACTGCAAGAATCACTGCTGAAAAACTGCGCCAGTTGGAATGGGAAGTTCTCCCTCAACCTGCATATTCTCCTGATATTGCCCCTTCCGATTACCAATTGTTTCGTTCTTTGCAAAACTTTCTTCTTGGAAAATATTTAATAATGAAGAATGCCTCAAAAATGCATTGACCGAATTTTTTGCATCAAAATCACAAGAATTTTACAACAGAGGGATTAAAATGCTTCCTGAGCGTTGGGCACAAGTAGTAGAAAACAACGGCAACTATATGTTGATTAAATTTTGTTGTATTGTTTAAATAAATTCGATTTAAAAAAAGTATTAGAAACGACATTAATTATTACTAGACTTAATATTATCTCCCATTCTGTTGGTTGCATTTTCTTTTTCTTTTTCTTTTTTAATATATTTTGATTTTTTTTACAGAGAGGAAGGGAGAGGGATAGAGAGTTAGAAACATCGATGAGAGAGAAACATCGACCAACTGCCTCCTGCACACCCCTACTGGGGATGTGCCTGCAACCAATGTACATGCCCTTGACTGGAATCGAACCTGGAACCTTTCAGTCTACAGGCAGATGCTCTATCTACTGAGCCAAACCGGTTTCGGCTGTTGGTTGTATTTTCAATATGGTAGTATTATAGTGTACATTAATACATAAAGTTTAAATTTGTTTATTTAAAGTTTTTCTTTTGTGGGCTATGCTTTTGGTATCAAATATAAGAAGTCACTGCCATGAAACTTTTCCCTTATATTTTCTTCTAAGAGTTTTATAACTTTAGCTATTACATTTAGATCTTTGATTTATTGCTCATTTTGAGTTAATTTTTATGCATGTTGAAGGTAAAGGTTCATCTTCATTCTTTTATATGTGAATATCCAATTTTCCCAGCACCATTAAATGGGTCTTGATATTTTGTTCAAAATTACTTGATCACATATGTGAAGGTTTATTCTAGGCTTTCTGTTGTGGACCATAACTTTGTAATAAGTTTGACATGAGAAAGAGTGAGTTCTCCAACTATGTTCTCCTTTTTTCAAGATCATTTTTGTTATTCAGTGTCCCTTGGTATTTGCTATTAAGTGTCCCATATGAATTTTAGAACTGATTTTTTCTATCCTGCAAAAAATTTAATTGAGATTTTAAATTACATTGAATCTGTAGATCACTTTGGGTAGAATTAAGATCTTAACAATATTAAGTCTTTTTCAATCCATGAACATGGATGTCTTTTCCATTTACTTGTGTCCTTTTTTTTTCCAACAGTGTTTTTGTAGTTTATGATAGATAAGTCTTTCACCTTCTTGGTCATTTATTCAAATATTTTATTAATTTTGATGTAATTATAAATGGTACTGTTTTAATTTCCTTTCAGATTGATTTTTTGCATGCTGGTTTTTGTACCCTACAGTTTTACTGAATTTATTAGTTCTAAGTTTTGTGTGTTTCTTACCTTAAGATTGAAAGATCTACAGAGATAATTTTACTTCTTCTAAATGAGGAAAGACTGAAGAAATAAAATTGAATCATTACGGTCAAGCTGCTAAATTATTAAAATTAAGTAGTCTGAGCTATGAGAAAACAATTCCATTCTTGCTTTAACTAGCCTGGGAATTTAAACTTTTTAACTCTTCAGTTGTGCCTATAGATACACAGACATGTAAATCCTACAGATAAACCTCTGATAACCCTTTGAACAACTTAAAAAGAATGTTCACGTAGACAGATCACCTGACATCCATCATCCAGATGACCAGACATAGGACTGATTACCACTTTGAACTAATCTAAGGGCTAAGAATGCAGTGCTGATTTCTACACAAGAATGTGACTTTTACTATAAAAACTTTCAGCTTGCCAAAACCGGTTTGGCTCAGTGGATAGAGTGTCGGTCTGCGGACAGGTTCGATTCTGGTCAAGGGCATGTACATTGGTTGCGGGCACATCCCCAGTAGGGGGCGTGCAGAAGGCAACTGGTCAATGTTTCTCTGTCATCGATGTTTCTAGCTCTGTATCTCTCTCCCTTCCTCTCTGTGAAAAATCAATAAAATATATTTTTTTTAAAAAGATGCAGAAATCCTTTGTGTTACAAATCTACAAATTCCATTGAACAAGATGTATATTACTAACTAGTGATAAAACGCTGTGGGATGCAAGAGCATGAACTCTTTGCTGCTAGCAAATGCCCTAAGTTCAATAGAGACTATCTTTTTCAAAAGTTGCCACCTTTTTAAGAAAAGAAAAAAATCTGGTTAATTTCTGAAATAATTTCACTATGTAGTTCTTTGATAAGTCTCACTTGAGCATTTTTGGGGGGTTTCCTTGCTAAAAATTTCTAAGAACAGATGATGTGTGAAGCTTGATATAAAATATTTCTAAAAAGATGACAAATTTTTAAAATATTTATTCCATACTAGAGGCCCGGTGTACGAAATTCATGCATGGGGGTAATGGGGGGTTGTCCCTCATCCCAGCCTGCACCCTCCAATCGGGACCCTTCAAGGGATGTCCGATTGCCCGTTGAGGCCCAATCCCGGTGAGCAGTCAGACATCCCTCTCACAATCCAGGATTGCTGGCTTCCAACTGCTCACCTGCCTGCCTTCCTGATTGCCCCTAACTGCTTCTTCCTGCCAGCCTGATCACCCCCTAACCATTCCCATGCCAGCCTGTTTGCTCCCAACTTCCCTCCTTGCCGGCCTTGTCACCCCTTACTGCCCTCCCCTGCAAGATTGATCACCTCCAACTGCCCTCCCTTGCAGGCCTGGTCCCTCCCAACTGCCCTCCCCTGCTGGCCATCTTGTAGTGGCCATCTTGGGTCCATATGGGGGCAGCTATCTTGGTCTTGTGTGTTGGAGTGATGGTCAATCTGCATATTACTTTTTTATTAAATAGATAGAGGCCTGGTGCATGGGTGGGGGCCAGGTGTCCGAGATCAGGGTGGAGATTCCCTTGGGGCATGGGGTGGCCAGGGCGAGGGGCCTGTGGTGGTTTGCAGGCCAGCCACGGCCCCTGGCGACCCAAGCGGAGGCCCTGGTTTCTACAATTGAAACTTTGTAGCCTGGAGCGAAGCCAAGCCTTCTGCTTGCTCTGTGGCTACCGCCATTTCTGTTGGAATTTGTTTCCCTTCTATAATTGAAACTTTGTAACCTCGAGTGGAGGCCTAGGCTGGCCAAGGTGTGTGGAAAGCTTGGCTTCCTCTATTGCCGGGAAACCCAAGCCTCCCTTCCTAGTCTCTGTGGCTGTAGCCATCTTAGTTAAGTTTATTTGCATACTCACTCTGATTGGCTGGTGGGCATGGCTGGCGGGCGTGGCTTGTGGTGTAGCAGAGTGATGGTTAATTTGCATATTACTCTTTTATTAGGTAGGAGGGTTCTTAGGCAAAATTCTCCAGTATATACTAATACACTCTCTGTTGAAAGGCACAGTTAGGAGATAACTACAAACTAAGACCACATATTTTCCTCTGATGCTTTACCCTTCAAGTAATCTCATCTCTTGCAAACTTCGGAGGAAATTTTTTTTACTGATAGTGATCTATAGCTTAGTTCAAACCAGCATTTTTGGTTTGGTCTTTATCTCCTTTAGTTTCAGCATGGGTAGATGCAGGTTCCAACACAGTGACCTATATCATTTTTAGTACTTTTCATGTTCATATTCTACTTATTCAGAAAGTCTATGAATTAAATTGTAATTATTCTTACTATAGAGCTACGCTTTATCAATTATTCTCATTTCTCTTGAAAATTATGAAGTTAACAGAAGAGTGAACTTTGTTTAGTTTGAAATTCTAATGTAGAATATATAACTAGCTGGGCACATCTCAAGATGCAAATGATTCAGATTTTTTAAATTACAAAATAAATGTATTATATTAACAAAAATAGCAGTATATCGATACATTAAAATAGCACATGTACAGCAGATCCAAGATCAATACTGCAATAACAATGCATGAAGAGCATGTTCACTTAAAGCATCTATTCAGCTTTTAGTAGACAATAAGCTCTTAGTACCTATTTATAATTATTTGTATCTCCCATCTACCTCAGTATCATTTACTAGCTCTTGATCTCTGAGCTTAAGTTTCCACACCTGTAAAACTGAACTCTAAAGAATATTAAATAAAACTTAAATACCGTATTTTTCGGACCATAAGACGCACTTTTTTTCCCCCAGAAGTGGGGGGAAAAAGTCCCTGCGTTTTATGATCCAAATATAGCCTACACATATATTGTACTTTAAAAAAAAAGTTTTTTTACTTGCCCGGCTCTGTGTGGTCTCTGTGTGCTTGCCCGGCTCTAAAATGGTTCTAAATGCTGCTGTTTACTTTACAGGGTTGATTACATGTGTTTATGACTGTGATGTTGGGTTTTAATGCACATAAAATATTTTAGGACACTATTTGTTTCAGAATCTTTTTTTCTTCATTTCCCTTCTCTAAAAACTGGTGCGTCTTATGGTCCGGGGCGTCTTATCGTCCGAAAAATACGGTAAGTATTCAATGCAGTGCTTAACACTGGTGGCTATTATTCATTCATTTAATTAAACAAGTGAATACATGTTGAGCTTGGCACTTGGGATACAATGTGAGTAAAAACGTACTTAGTGGGAAGGATAGTTATTAATCAAATAAAACAGCATTTCTCTTTAATTTTATTGGCTAGTACTCCCAGAATAATATTAAATACAGAAATGAGAGTTAAGTTTTTAGTGACCAGATTTGTATATCTGAACCTGGATCAACATATAGGTGTTATGTCTTCACAGCAATGTCAATATATGAATTCTGTATATCAAGAAAATTAAAGAATAATTGTTCTCAGTCACAGTCCTTTAAAATAATGTGCTCTGAGAACAATTAATTTTATTGATCCAAGAAATATTTGCATACTATCAAAACATATCTGTTGTGTGAAATAAGACACGTTATGTATGCTAACATCTTCCTTGTATAATTCTATAATTTCATGATAGCATCCATATTGATGCTCCCATCATCCCACCTGTCCCTCTCATTTCCCAGTTCTTTGTAATTTTGGGACCCTACTGATTTTTATGTTTGTCTCACGCTAGCCTCTCTATTCAGCACTGCTCTGCTTTCCAAATCTCAAACTT